CATCCGTCCCCTGTTGCTTAGCATGCTGTCCTTTCCACAATCGGTAATTCTCTTAGGAATTTTGCCAGCTGTGCATCTCAGTGAAATGATGAAAACACAGTCATTCTCTGGGTTGCCCTGCCCTAAATCTGTCAGCTTGCCACTGCCTTCCTTCTTCTGCCCTCATCTTCTCACAGGTGACTTGATGCCACATTGCGGTATGCTTGGGTCACCAAGCTCCAGCCCACGTCAACCTTGTAACCGTCAAGCCACCCTCCTTGTTAATGAGTACGATGGGTGCCCATCAGATAAGGCCTCTGCTGTAACCACCAGGAGTAAATCCAATCTTTGCTCCAGTAAAAGGCAAAGGAATAAAATTAAGACAGTGACCTTGCTGAAATAGAAAAATCCAGGAGCCATTCTCTGTGTTCTGTGTATCCTTAGTGAGTGGCATGTGCCTGACGTCAGTGGTTGTCATGGTAACTAGAGAAGAGCTGATGGTGCTGTAGCCAATGGGGGCCCAGCAACTCTGTCCCCTGATCCATGCTGACCTTAAGAAAAGTGGACGGGGGAAGGGAGAAAGAGAAGCATCATGTGAGCAGAGTCTGCATCAACATCCCCCCAGCCGCCGCCCCTTCCTTTCCTCGGCTATGGAAAGGGAGACCCCAGCTAAGGTTTGGGGGTAGAAGGGAGGAACTCTGCCTTACAAGACTGTAAATCTAGGAGGGAGCCTCTTTCCTATCTGTCCACTGCACTGCCAACTCACTTCCCTCCCCATTATGAAAATTCAACATACATTTCCCTTGTCCTCAGCTGTTATCAACACGTGTACCCTCCCTCCCCTGCCTCACCTTTCCCTAGCCGAGTCTCCTACCCTGAATCTCAAGGGTTATCTTTTCCTGCATAACCCTCAGTGCTTTAAACACTTGTTTCCTTTCCATCTAAAAAACAAAGATAACGAAGCGTGCTGATGAATCAGCTTGTGTGATTACTGAGCAAACTTAACCATGGAACTGCCAGAACAGGAGATCCTCATATACAGCCTTTCCCATCTGCTGTGTAATCCTTACATAATCTCCCACCTGTGCACTCGCTCCCAACTCTTCTACCTCTCTTCTAGTGCTTTTCATTCACAGATATCAACTTCTTACTTGCTTTTAAGCAGTTCAGTATCTTTCCAGTTACTCACTTTTTGGCTGGCACAGTGTATATTTAATTTTATTCACACAATCATGTTGGTTCCCACTCTATATAAGCATTCTATGGCTGGTAACTTCTCCTCTTCCCTAATGTGTACTGGTTACAGTATCTCTGCTGAAAACATGGCCTTTCACTCCTCATCCAGGTCTTTGTCGTGGCTGCTCTCACTGTCATTGCTTCTGGGATTATAGTGTATATACAGAATCACACATGGATCTTGTTAAGATGGAGACTGAATCAGTGAGCCTGGGGGAGTCTTAGTTTCTGCATTTTTAAGCTCAGAAGACCAGACTGTAAGGGACAATGAAATAGAAGCCTCCTCTGTCTGGAGACTTCTCACTCCTGCCTTATGGCACTTACAGATGGTACTGCTAGTCTGTTCCTTCTCTAGAGGTCTGGGTAGTTCCCTCCTAATGTCATGCACAGGGAGGTGGGCTACTGAGGTTTCTCTCCGACTGAGATGTGCCTGTCGGTAGCTGTAGAAAGCTGTTCCTGGTGCTGTGCCAATAACATTAAAATGTTACTGAATGAAAGTGGCAGAATCTGTCATTATAGCAGTTTACAGTTCCATGTCACCCTAGAAAAGGAGCCATTAGTAAGATAATTGTTATCTCATAACCCCCAACACAAATTAGCATTTCAGTAGTTATTTTACTTGAAATTTTTTATTCTATTTATGGCAAGAAAGTACAATGGCGGGGGGGGGGGGGTGTCCAGCTCACATTGTGGAAAAGATACGGGAAGATAAGTAGGAGCTCTTCATGAAGGCTCACGTATAGGAAGGACTCCAAGAAACAGGGAGACTTCTAATAGGTTTAAAATCATAATCCACTGCTATATAATGTTAGAGAAAGGAGCACATGAACACATGAACATGGCAAATGTATCTATATGAAAAGGGTATGTTAAGGCACAAATCAGGCTAGCGAGCACACGCATGGCTCTTGGGATGGCTCCTATCCTTTACCCTTGACAACAGTGCTAAGTGCATCTCATCCACTGGCTGGAGGTTGATTTCAAACCTCCCATGATAGGCTAATCATCCTGAAGGAGAAGGGGGAGGTTCAGGAAACATGAGTCCTTGCCAGGCTAAGGATGTGCCTTGCCACATCCATCATGACCTCTACCTTTCAAATGTAATTAAGTAATATAAGTACAGTCTTCACATTGTTCTGCATACTTGCTTATTAAAAACTTTATATGTGTGTGTACTAACTGTATTTTATATATATTAACTGTAATTTCGATCTGCTTCTTTTAAAAATAGATATTCCTGTCCTCCACTTTTACTAGGAAAAAGCTAGAAATTTACACAGCCTGTGGAATTAATTAGAATCTGAACTTGGAACATAAATAAATTACTTTCTTATCCCACTTATCTAGATGACTGGTTCTCAACATTTGAATCAGCACTTTTTTTCTGGGCTAGAAATCAGACTTAGAACTTAACACATGCTAAGCAAGTACTCTATTACTGAGCGATGTACATGGCACTCAGTATTTCAGAAATATAAGTATAGACATTTTTACTTTATAAAATGCCTTTATAAACATTTTACTTTATAAAATAGCATAAAGATTTTCACTGTCTTTGAGAAGTGAATGTTTACATATCAAATATGACTGCTTTAAAGTATTTCTGTATTTAACAACTGTCTACACTATAGACACAGTAAGATATTGCTACTAAATAAAAACAGATGGGAGAAGTGATTGCATTTTTGTGTATGTCTCCAAAAAACAGGTAGAATCTTCTTAGGATTCTAATGTTGGGCTGCTAGTTGGTCTTGTCTTCAAACTATTCTTTTGAGAGTACGATTTTCACTGGATTGTGCAGAAAAATTAGAAAAACACTCTGGAATGACAGCAAGACTGAGTTAAAGGTCCTTGACCATAAACTGCCAGTGGTACATGTAGCTTTACTCATCTGTAATTGTGCTTTCAGAATCATTCAAAATAGTTTAGATTGGATAGAAGTTTACCTCATTGTAGTGATGTATATTTCACTTGTTTTTGTTATAAGGTTAATAAATTACTTCCCATTCAGCTGCAGTGACCAACATTTGGTCTACAATTCCACATATATGGTGATTTGTAGTAAAAGCTGAACACACTTTTAGGGAACCTGCTTATGACTTTTACATGTGGAAATTAAATTTTTGCTGAAAGTGCTTTATCAGTGCCACAGATGTTGTTTTAATACCTTACTTTCATAGCTTTTCCCCTTCTGCGTAAACTCATGTCCTGTCCCAAGACTGATTGTATAGCAAGGCTGACAAAACTTAAGCTTTAGGATCCTTCAGTCATCCTTCTCAGATCCCATAGAAACCGCGGCAGTTTGGTATTTGTTCTCTAAAAGAAGGCCCTTGTAATATGAGCATGATCTTATACAGCCACCTTTGTATGTAATGTGAGCTGTGTCTCATTGAGATCATTCTTAGAGGCACAGCAAAGAGGCCAAAGCTAACAAAAACTAAGAAAAAGTAAAAGTCTAAAGTCATTCCATTTCTGGGAAAGGGTTGCTTCGTCCTTCCATATAATTTTCAAAGCTGTACTGATGGCTACCAGAGTCTTTGTTGATAAGTCATCTTTTTTTTTTTTTTTTTTTTTTTTTTTTTTAAATTTTTTTTATTGTTCTTTTTTTTTTTTTTTTTTTTTTTTTTTTTATTAAACTTTACTCAGTGAGCAGATTGTCCTCAGCTTCCAGCTTGTGTACAAGGCTTATAATAGTGGCACAATCCAGAGCACTGGATATACTCAGCTTCTTTCACTAGCCCTGCTTTATTGTGGTGGGGAGAGAGGAGAGTTTTGGAAGAAGCAGAGACCAAGTAGCAAGTGAGAGAAAGAAGGCAATGTGGACCAGTCCACACTCATGCTTTGATATCAGGTGGCCCTCTATTATTTTCACTTCCTGTCCTAATCTGGGACTGGGTGAAGTACTTGAAGCTTCTTAGATACAATTTTTTTAATTAAAAAACAATTATACAATATATTCTGATTAAGTTTTCCCCTCTTTCTCCACTCCTCCCATATCTTCCCTTTTTCCTCACCTACCCAACATCATGCTCCCCCTCTCCTTAAAAAAAAAACAAAAAAAAAACAAGAAATACACACAAGAATCCCCCACCAAAAAAATAAATAAAACAGAAACCAAAATATACAACCAAAGACCAGTAAGACAAATATATATATATACACAAATGTCTACCAAAACACCATTTAGTTTGTGAGGCCAGCTACTTGGGGGCCACTGGTCTACCCTGAAGTGTGATGAATATACCCAGTGAGACTCCATTAAAGATCTTCCCTTTGCAAGTACCCACCAGTTGCAGGTAGCTTCTTTGCTAGGGGTGGGAACTATGTCTACCTGTCTTTCTCAGTGCTGGATAGGGTGTAGATTTAAGGACTGATTTAAAAGATTGCTGTGATAAAAGTCTATTCCCTCTCCCCTACTTCCAACTGACAGGATTTAATTAGGCTTTCATGATGATGTTCATTACGTGAACCATTTTGTAAAAGCAAAGGCAGGTAATGACTCAGCATGTAAAGGCACTTGCTCCCAACAACCTGAGTTTAATCCATAGAACCCATATATAGAAGCCATATAGTTGAAGGACAGAATCAACTGCTGAGATCTGTCATCTGACTTCCAAGTATAGATAGATGATAGATTGATAGATAAATAATAAATATGAACACACACATGCTTATAGCTGGTGCTTATATAATGCATGCATCCTTCCCACATGGTTTACTTGTATACATAGTCCTAGGCCCTGGGTGCAGCCCAACTAAACAGTGGTTGTCAATCGTGTTTGCAGAGAACGATGAGGAGCAGGATGAGCTGCCTTCTCTGGATAAACCTGGCTGGTACTCCCAAGGGAATGCTGCCCACCTTTATGAACTTCTGAAGAAAATGACCAGCAAGCCTGAACCCAAGGTAATTTCTTACTGAGGCAGAGTCCTTGATGTGCAGAAACAAATGGTTGTGAACCGAGCCATGGAGGCTGTAAATGGTTATGGTTATGTACGTAGATGGGTCATCTGCCTCTGAGCATCTGCTGCATCTCTCCTTTTGCCTCTTCTGACTAGATACACATTTGGTTAATACACAGTCTTTATCTATGGGAAAGTAAGGATGCCACAGAGGTCACAGGTCTAGGAAGTACATGAGTCATACACAAGGTGCCTCAGAAATGGCATTCTGATAACAACTCATCAAAGAATATTTTAACGTTAAAAAAAAAAAAAGCAGTGACTGAAGTGACACTGACCAGCTTTTCCTTAAAGAATTGTTTGCGTTTGAGCCTTTGGTCACACTGTCAATGTTGGGCATTAGTACACATTCACAGTATAGTCTTTTTCTCTACGTGATACATACCATAAGACCTCTGAGCAGGAGGAATCATTGGGTGGCTGAGCTCTGGTCCCTACTTTCTTTGCCCTCTGAGAACTATTCAGTGGACACAGGACCTCAGTGAGGAGCCTCTGGTTCTTAGCCCTGAACCTCATGCCCTCTTCCATGAATTGAGGAGTGGTGTAGTCTGAATCAGTAAGCTTTGCCTCAGAATTCCCCAGGGACTTTTCTAAATTATATATGCTTTTCTAAATATATATATTCATTCATGAGTTCTGTTTCAGCAGATGCACGAGACCTTGGTGTGTATAAACTGAAGAGTGGTTATGATGCATGTTCTTAACATATAATCCCCTATAATAAGCTGTCAGTTGTAGTTCTAGAGGCAGGCACACCAGCTCATTTCTTCATTAGGAAAATCAAATAAAATTGTTTCTCATCTTCTTCACCTTCCTTACATCTTCAGCAAACCTGTGAATCAAATAAGACAAATAATTGGTAAAATCATATGTAAAATTACTTATGGAAGTTTAAGACACTTATGTGTTGCAACCCGCGTGGTCGTCTCGCCAGCAAGAACGCACACAGACAACAGGATCCTTCTGCAGCAAGCTTTATTGCAGTCAAGCGATGAGAGGAGGAAGACCCCGAGCCCAGGAATGGCACTGCTTATATACACCCTAAGGCGGCGTGTGGTCTATGATTGGCTGCTTACTCATTACCTCACAAGACGCCCTGGGCTGGGCCAAGACTTGGCGCGCTTTTGCCCTTGCGCATGCGTAATATTACTTGTCTTCCAGGGTCAGAGCCGGATGTTGGCGCCATCTTGTAATGGCGTTTTGCCCGGGCATGCCCAAGCGGCTCTCCACACTTATGTACTGAGAATTTTGGAATTTTGGTTTCTTTTAAAACATAGAAATATTATAAGAATATGTTTTCATTTTAATCCCAGGTGTGGGGATATGGGGCTGCTTCATTGCAGCTGACTATGATTTGTCTGGTCCTCTAGCAGCACCATGATTTTGCCAGCTGCAGACAGTTTCTGTGATTGTGTGACGTTTGGAATTTTGGGGACTTTTGAGAGGTTATATAAATGCTAGAGCACGATGTGTGGGTGGTTCATGGGTTGTTGGTTGATTGCTGGTTGCTGTTGGTCTTAGATTATTAAGTAGTTGTTCACAAACAAGAAACAGCAACAAGAAGAAATTCACTATCCTGATGGTGAAAATCAGATTTTCCCTAAGGAGCTCAATTTTTCTAATCAGCAGGAAATAGTCCAACAATAATGTTGCTGCCATCCCCTTTTTAATCCCTGATTTTATTCAGGGATCTCTTTCCTTTTCCCTCTATCCTTGTTTCTCTCCTATCTAGTATTAGGGAGTAAAACTGGGGAGGGGGAATAAAGGGAGGGAAAAGGAAAAACCCACAAAGTAGCAAAAGCCAGCTACACACATCATTTTTGGTTCTTCTGTTGTCTGCACAGTGGCCACCACTCATATCCATGCGTCATTCAGAATTTTCTGTCTGGATCATAGGTCGTTTACTTTGGTGACAGCATGCATTCAGATATTTTCCCAGCCCATCACTATACTAACTGGGAAACAGTCCTTATTCTCGAGGAGCTTCAGGGTCAAGAAGTAGAGAAGCCTGAGGAAGCAAAGCCTCTGCAGAAAAGAGGAAAATATGAGGTAAGGATCCAGTCTGTCCTTTCATGGGTGTTTGAAAGCTGAAGTCTCCTTATGCTACCTGACTTTAGAATTGCCTGGAAATGGTTTCATATGCCTGAGGTCCCACCATATGACAAATGGAACTAGAGGATCAGGATATTAGGGCTAACCTTGGCTACATAGTGAGTTTTACACCAACTTTGGCTTCATGAAACCCTGTTTTTATTATTATTTTATAATTATTATTTTGGTTTAACTGAATACCTTCATGATTCTATTATTGGTGTTTGAACTTCTATTATTTAATGGATTTCTCCTAAGCAGATACCTCTAGCCAACTTAGTTGTATTGTCTGCTTTTAAGAACCTAGTATATGCCTGTAGGTGTTCTGGCTTATGCAGGAAGATTGATTGAAGAAAGACAGGATGAATTTAGGCTTCTCAGCAGCAGGGGGCATCAGCCTCTGAAGGACTGAACACCCAGGAGCTTTTCAGAAGCTCTTTATTGTCACACAAAAAGCCATATAGCAAGTAAATTTCCACATACCAGAGCCTCTTATCTGATCTGGAGTTGTCTGAAGGAACCATCACCTAAGCAGTTCTCAGCCATAAGAGACTTCCTAGTTTGCCAGATATGTCTCAGGACTAAGTTATGCAAAGGCTCTGTGAATCCTTCAGAAAAGCAATCCCATAAACCTCAGATAACAATCACCAATGAAAGGCTGCTTCAAAATGTAGTTGCCCTCATTCCGGAATACATGCCAGATAGAATGGCTCTGCTAAAACTCTGCTCTGTGGGCCATCATCATCCCATCACGGATGGGAGAACTCTATGAGGAGAACTGTTGGCAGTTAATGGCTTCAAGGGAAGATGAGTTGGTTTTTCCAATAGTGGCTGCTGATAAGCCGCCCACACCCTTGCTTATGCAAGCAACACTAGTTAAACTCAGTAAGTCATTTAAAAAAAAAAAAAAAGACATGAAAGTAGGACAGGGCTTGAGGGAAGGTGTTCAAGGGCATCAGGAGGGAACTTAAATAAGCCCCCAATACGCACTTCTGTAAGTTGGTATGGTCATGGTGTCTCTTCATAGCAATAGAAAAGAAGCTGAAACAGTAACCTCGTTGTAAGGAATGGTTTCTCAAGTTCCATCATGAAGGACAGTAAGAAGTAGAAATATACGGAGCTGGAGAGATGGCTAAGTCAGTAAAGTGCTTGCCTCAAAATCATAAGGACCCGAGTTCAATCCTCAGAACCCATGTTTTTAACATTCCTTGGTGGCACATGTTTGTAATGCCTGCAGGGGATAGTAGCTGGAGAGAGGAGGGTCCATGGGGCTTGCTGGCCAGTCACTAGCCAAATCAGTAGCACCAGGCTCAACGAGATCACCTGTCTCAAAAACTAAGGTTGACAGAAGTCCAGGAAGACACTCAATATGGACCTCTGCCCTGCACACATGCATGCACACAAACAGAGGAGTAAGTGACTACCTGGAATTTACCCTTCCGTTTGGAAAACCAATACATGAAGAGACAACTTGTGAAAGAGTTTGTGGATAGTTCTAGGAACTAACAAATTTATTTCTCACTACTCTCAGTGAAGAGCTAGAAAATATTCTTTTTTTAAATTTTTTATTAATTACACTTTATTCATTTTGTATCCCCCCATAAACCCCTCCCTCCTCCCCTCCCGATCCCACCCTCCCTCCCCTTTCTGCATGCATGTCCCTCCCCAAGTCTACTAATAGGGGAGGTTCTCCTCTCCTTTCTGGTCTTAGTCTATCAGTTCTCATCAAAAGTGGCTGCATTGTCCTCTATTGTGGCCTGGTAAGGCTGCTCCCCCCTCAGGGGGAGGTGATCAAAGAGCAGGCCAATCAGATTATGTCAGAGGCAGTCCCTCTTCCCATTACTATGTAACCCACTTGGATACTGACTGCCATGGGCTACTAGAAAATATTCTTTAAGGAAAAAAAACAACAACAACAACTAGTAACCCAGATATGGCAGCAATAAGTTTTTCTGTTCTCATCCTCTTCTAAAAAACAAACACTAAATGAGAAAACTCCAGTGAAGTTGGTTTTTATCCTTCAATGTAATAATACTAATAATACTAATACTGTAATAATACTAATAATGATGATAATAGAATGATATTAGAATTATTTTAATCATAGAAAATATCTTAATATATACCTTAGGATAGTTTTTAGATTATGGCAACTGACGTTTTAAAGAGCCAATGCTGGGTCATGTTAAAAGGGCACTCATAAGGAAATGTTACTTTCTTTGCAGAAACATAATAGGTTTCCAAACCCTGCTCATAGGTCTCTAGCATTTTCCTACTTCTGTTTATTTATTGAGTAAAAAAAAAAAAAAACACTTGCAAGACCAGTTCACTGCAGATGCCATTCTAATCACAGTTGTTACATCTTCTTTCAGGAGCCAAAGGTAAAGCCTCTAAATTCCTTATCTAATAAATGGGGCTCATACTTTATTGACTCAGCCTCAAGACAAGGAAATGCAGAGGACTCCTTAGTTTATACTTGGTCCTCTAAGAGAATCAGCACCTACAGCACGATTGCAATTCCCAGCATTGAAGCTATTGCAGGTAAGGGGGAAAATATGGTGAAGTCTCTCCCTGCCCAAGATAGAAACCATTGGAGGTGTCATCTGAGAAAAGATGTCTTCTCAAGACATACAGTTATTTTTTTCCTTATTTTGGGGGTTATGATTTAATTACATCATTTCTCACTTCCCTTTTCTTCCTTCAAACCGTTTCATATACCCCTTCTGTTCTCTCAAATTCATGGCCTCTTTTTCATTAATTGTACATGCATAGATGTATATGCATATATACATATATATGCATATATACATATATTCATATATACTCCGAAATATATCGTGCTAAGTCTGTATAATGAGTTATTTTTTAGGGGAAAGAGTTTCCAAATATGGCATGCTGGGTCAGGAACCACACATACACACCCCTTTCTGGAGCCAACAACAATGACTGGACAACTTAAAAAAAAAAGTTTGGAGAAATAGGATACCTATTGGGAGAATTACCACTACAATATGCTTAGGAGTCCCAGTAAGATGAACCTGGCTTTGGGGCTATGTGCCCCCAGAGAGTCCACAGAGGTTGAATGAACCTTTCAGTAGCTTCTTGTAACTTCTAAGATGGGAACTAGAAGAGTTGGTCAGCTCCTCAGCCTCTGTTGTAAGGGTGAATTAAGGCAGAGTCCATATTTTCACAAGAGCTGAAACTCTGCTTCAAACAACTGAATACCAAAAAAGTATTAGTTGCCCCACTGATGGTTAATGTCTCCGTACACTTGGTGGAAATGAGTGCCCATTCTCTTTTGAGAAATATATTATTCTGGGATTCAAATACTTCCTAAAAATAGTTTATATACTGCTCAGCCCTGAATGAAATATTGCCAGGATATATGCCTATGAGTGGTATAGCTGGGTCTTGAAGTAGCCCTATTCCCCTTTGTCCGAGAAAGCGCCGATTGATTTTCAAAGTGGTTGTACAAGTTTACATTCCCACCAGCAATGGAGTAGGGTTCCTATTTCTCCACATCCTCTCCAGCATGTATTGTCACCTGAGTTTTTGATCTTAGCTATTCTGATGGGTGTAAGGTAAAATCTCAGGGTTGTTTTGATTTGCATTTCCCTGATGAGTAAGGAAGTTGAGCATTTCTTTTAAGTGTTTCTCTGCCATCGATGTTCCTCTGTTTAGCTCTGTAACCCGTTTTTTAATTGTTCAACCATGTTTGTAGCAGCTTTATTTGTAATAGCCAGAAGCTGGAAACAACCCATATGTCCCTCAGTTGAGGAATGGATACAGAAATTGTGGTATATTTACACAATGGAATACTACTCAGCAATTTAAAACAAAGAAATCATGAAATTTGCAGGCAAATGGTGGGATCTAGAAAAGATCATCCTGAGTGAGGTATCCCAGAAGCAGAAAGACACACATGGTATATACTCACTTAGAAGTGGATATTAAACATATAATATAGGATAATCACACTAAAATCTGTACAACTAAGGAAGCTAAGCAAGGAGGAGGACCCTGGGTAAGATGCTCAATCTTCATTTAGAAAGGCAAATGAGACAGACACCAGAAGAGGGAGAAAATAGGGAACAGGACAGGAGCCTATCACAGAGGGCCTCTGAGTAAGGTATCAAAACATATGCTGAGATGCATAGCCAAACTTTGGGCAGAGTTCAGGGAATCTTATGAAAGAAGGGGGAGATAGAAAGACCTGAGGGAACATGAGCTCCACAAGGAGAACAACAGAACCAAAAAATCCGGGCACAGGTGTTCTTTTCTGAGACTGATACTCCAAACAAGGACTGTACATGGAGATAACTTAGAACCCCTGCACAAAAGTAGCCCAAGGCAGCTCAGTATCCAAGAGGGTTCCCCAATAATAGGAATAGGGACCATCTCTGACATGAATTCAGTGGCTGGCTCTTATATCACCTCCACCTGACGGGGGAGGAGCCTTACCAGTCCACAGAGGAAGACAAAGAAGCCAGTCCTAATGAGACCTGATAGACTATGGTCAGATGGAAGGGGAGGAGAACCTCCCCTATCATTGGACTGGAGGAGGGGCATAGGAGAAGAATAGGGAGGAAGAGTGAGATTAGGAAGGGATGGGGGAGGGGGCTACAGCTGGGATACAAAGTGAATAAACTGTAATTAATAAATAAATAAATTTAAAAAATATTGCCAGGAATATGAGGCTAGGAGACCACAATAATAATAATAACAAAAACAGCCAACTACAGAAAACAAAGGATTGAGAAATTTTGTAGAGATATAAAAATGAAGAGAATAGAAAATTTCAATTAAATTTTTCAAAACCATAATTCAAATAGTAATGAGTAGACTTCATAACTGATTAGACACAGTAGAAAACAAATTGGTGAACTAGCTCAAAAGGAGACTGGCAGTGTCATAGAGAGCCTGCCTGCCAGGTGCAAGGCCTTGGGTTTCATACCCAGCACTGGGAGGGAGCTAGGCAGGAAGGAAGGCAGTTACAGAATGAAGCACCACCAAGTAAAGTCACAGGAGACTCTGAAAAAAGGTAAAAGAGACATAAAAGGTAAAATGAGAAGATTTCTGTAATTGGTGCTCCCAAGAGTAACTGTAATCATGTGGAGCAAACTAGACACTTGGGGAAACATTTGTTATTAACATGAGAATCACTTCATAATGATAAGTTCTCAGTTCTCAGTTCTCAGTAACATACATTTTAACTGCAAGTCTGAGACACTCACTGGGCTGCCTTCTTCATAGGGGAACTTAATCTGTCCCTGTTTAATTGAAAAGCTGTGCAGAACCCACCCAACCTTGCGACCCCGCTATGGAGGTGTATGCTTTTGGTGTGGAGTCTTGGTGTCCAGTTCTCTTCTGAATTTGGCAAAGGGCTTGAGGAGAAAACAGCGGAACCCAGTTCTCTGCCCTTCTATTGCACTGGGCCCCTAGTCACTCGGTCTGTCTCTGTTCCCCGGCAAGACTGCTAAAAGTCCCTGGCTTCTCCACTGCCTCCAGCCTGAATGCACACATGAAGGAAGATCTGTGGCAGAAAGTGGCCTTCCCTCTTTGCTCATTGATCTCCATGGGAATCATGAGTCCCTGAGTGTTGCTCGTCTTTTCAGCACCCCAGTGACCTCACTCTGATGTTTATCTGTGTCGAGCTACTTTAAGTTCTTTCAGCAAGTTAGAAACTTATGGAAGTGTTTGAGTTTCATACTTCCTGGAACTGCTGGTGTCAGAGTGCCTTTCCTCCCTTACAGGATGGATATGAAGGAGGAAAGCAAGGCATTTACCTCTTACTATTTATTAGGAGGATGATGGTGGCAGCCCTGACATAGGTTTGATCTTCTAAAAGATCCATCTGAGTGTCAGTGCACAAACCAGTATGTCGGCATGTCCTTCTGAAATGGTATTTTTGTTCTCAAGTGTTCCTTTTTATTGTTGTTTAGTGCTTATACACAAAATTAAATGCAGCGTGAAAACAGTCTTGCTTTAAAAAAAAAATCTGTTAAAGAAACTATTTTCTTTCAAAATAATTCAGAACTTTGTTGGGGTGGTATAATAATAGAAGTCACTGGATTATCCTAAGATACTTGGGTAGGTATAAAAATTATCAAGTGTGATTGTGAATAGTAAGGAAGTAAAAAAGAGTTTTCATTCTAAAACTTACTTCTAAAACTAAGGAGAAAATGAGCCCTCAGCTATCAATTCAGGCCACCTTTCCTTTCTTTATGCATTTACTTTTATTTGTGTGTAGGTGCCTGTGGAAGCCAACCACTGTAGGTGCTTGAACTGAACTAGGGTCCTCTGGAACAACAGAAAAGGCCCTTAATCGCTGAGCCATCTCCCCATCCTGCCACTAATCTCTTTCTCTCTGCGCCCAAGGAGAGAACCTGACAGGGCCGGCTTCTCTCAGAGGAGCTAATAAGCAGGTTACTAAAACCGAACTAAGCCCTGTTCATTGCTGGGAAAGGAGGAGAGAGTTGTATCTTATTTGTTCTGATGTTGGAAACACTCCCTCAAAATGTGACACAGTAACCACAGTTTTATGAATAGGCTGTATCTCCTATAGAACTGTAGCTTGATTGTGACAGAGATCCACCTGCCTCTGCCTGCCTGAGTGCTAGGATTATAGGTGTGCACCACCACACCCAGCTTCTTTTCCTTGATTTTTTTTAAGATTTATTATCTTAAATTGTGTGTGTTTGTATATAACTGTGTCTCTGTGTTGGTATGTACACATGAATGCAGGTGTCTACAGAGGCATCAGATCCCCCATGGAACTTGGGGCCTATGTAAGAGCAGTACATGTTCTTAACTGGTGAGCTATCTTTCCAACCATCACAGCTTTTTAAGGTATATGAAGGGAGGGGTGCCCACAGAGGCCAGAAGAGGGCATCAGATCCCTGAAGCTGGAGTCACAGGTGGTTATAAACCACTCAATGTGGATTCTGGGAATCAAATCCTCAGTAAGAGCAGTGAGTGCTTTTAACTATAGAGCCACCTGTCAGCCCCCCATATTCTTAATAATAACAGATTATTGCTGTTACCATAGCAGCATTACACATTACATAGTTATGTCATTCAGTATTTAAATACTTAGAAGCCAGGGTGTGTTTACTGATGTTGTTTTTTCTCTTCACAGTAAGGTTAGCTTTCTGTGACATCAGGAAAGCAATGTTCCTTCTTCCTATCCAGCACTTTGATTTTTTGTTTGTTTGTTTGTTTGAGTTTTTGTTTTGTTTTGTTTTCTGGTAAAGATTAACTGCTTGAGCCTTGATGCTTCTCATTGGCACCTAATATAAGAATAATTTGGGCCAGAGCTCTGGGAATTTTGTGAACTATATTTAAATGTGACTTGGCATACATACTATTGTGCATTTTATTTACTCTATACTCTGTATCCTTGGTACCAACCTACCTGTAGCACAAGTATCAAGATTATGAAACTTTGAAAAATAGAAGCATTGAATTTTTTTATTACTTCTTTTATTTTTTGACATTATAATTACTTCTCCCTTCCCCTCTCTTCCTCCAAAGCCTCCTGTGTATCCCTTTTTGTTCTTTCAAATTTGTGGCCTCTGTTTTCATTAATTGATGTTACATGCAATGTTTGCATATGCTAGTTCCTAAATACAGAAATACAAACTAGTCAGTCTGTACAGAACTACTTGTATATATGTGTTTTCAAGGCTGACCATTTGGCATTGGATCACCAACGGTGTGCTCTTCCCTAGGAAAGACTAGTCCTCCCACTCCCAGCATCCCATAGTTATCTGTAGTTCTTTTTGTATTTTTTTTTTTGTATTGTGGAAGCTTCATGGTCATTTACCTGTGCACTTTAATGTGACTATTATTGTTTTCCTTGTTTGGCTCATGAAACACTGAATTTTAATTTATTTATATTTGTGAAAGTAATTTGGGGACTTATAAAACAATCCCTTTTTCCCCCTCCCTCACAGAGTTACCCCTGGACTACAAATTTACAAGATTCTCTACAAACAATTCAAAAACAGCTGGTTACTATCCGTCGGCCCATTATACCTTGAATTCTCAAGACACGACACAGACAGCAAAATAATCTTCACTGGAAAATGAACCGACCATATGTGTAACAGACTTTTTAAAATGTTAATTTTCCCAAAAAATTCACATGATTTATGAGAACAATTTTCGATGAAAATTGACCAAATGGATACTTGTCAATCTGTCCTTATAAAATATAATTTTACATAAATCATATTAATGTTTAACAGGTCTTGGTATATTAAAAATTTTAGGACTAATAAAGAACACTACTAATATTTTCTATACTGGTAGTTTTGAGGATTCTCCCAAGATGAAGATACACACATATGCAAGCATATATTTATCCATCTACCTAGGCCAGCAGATTCTAAAGCCTGGTCCACAGACTTATAGCAGAACAACATAGCATTTGAAAATGCAAATTAGACTGCCTCATTCCAAACCTCCTGAATGAGAAACTGGGATGGGGCCCGGTGACGGCTTTTAAACAAGCCTTCCAGTGACTCTGATGCTCAACTATGATTTGAAGCCTTGTTAGTAAAACCTGTGTTGAATATTCAGTTTTAATATGTGCATATCAAAAAGTGTAACCAGAATTGATAGCCAACACCAGAGTCTAGTGAAACTGCTTTATTTTTCCAAGCTATCAGACTTTTTGCTATTTTTCCCCAAAACACATCAAAAGAGACATGATTTCTTAAGATAATATAGCCTTATTCCTTAGTATTAATTTCTCCCATTAGGAAGAATTTATGCCCTGGCCAGCGGAGCTTGTTATTAGCGGGGATAGAAGAGAATCCGAACCTGTGAAAAGATGGGCGAGAAAGAGAAACCGAGTCCAAGCAAACAGGTGCTTGTCAAGGACTAACTTTACTGAGCAGAATCAGCTTTTATAAAGGGTTCAGGATAAGGAAGTAGGGTGGGTGAAAAATTACAGATTCTTCTCTGCCAGGGGCCTGAAACATCTTGTAATAAGCCATGGTTCTGTGAGCACATCTCTGCTGTTGCCAAGCAGTATGTTTACCGCAGGTAAGGGAACGGACATTTCCAAGCAGTATGTTTACTGCAGGTAAGGGAATGGGAATCTCCAAGCAGTATGTTTACTGCAGGTAAGGGAACGGGCAAGTTGAGGCAAGTTGGTGAGCTTCCACAGGTGGTCTCTGAAGTTGGTGAGTTCTCTCAGGTGGTCCCTGACATCTCCCCCTCTCTAGTCTAAATAAAATGGAGGAAAGGGATGATTTGCTGCAGCTTGTAAGATGGGGAACTTTGTAAATTGAGGTTAATTGTTTTTAATTTGCCAAATGAAATTTTTTAATTTTATGATAGGGGATAGAAACTGTGGTAGTGAGGCCAAAGGGCTGAACATTAGCAACTGTGGGCAAGGCAGATTGTGTCCCCCAGGAGTGACGGTTTGAGGTTTTAGCACCCAGGTCCTGCTTTGAGGGCCCAAGTCCGCAACCACCAGTCATCAGTCCAAACATGGGGCACAAGTGGGGTCTGAGCCTGCTAGAATGACAAGGCTCGGGCCTTACCCGTCATGGGAGCGGCCTCCTCCAGGCAAGGTTGTCCTGTCTTAGGTGGACCAAGGCTTATATGTTCATTCCGTCTCTGACTTACCAGACCACTCACTTTGTGGAAAGTAACGCTTTTTTAGATCGCCTGCCCACAAGATATAAAAGCTCGCCCAAAAGTGGCCATGGAGAATTTGGAAAGTCAATCTTGGTCAATTTTTATCACATTTTACCACAGTGAACGTTAGCCAATTATAACAGCCAATTAGGAAGCTGCAGGAACCATTAGGGAAACTCCACGCTTATTTGTCCCTAACTAATAGGCGAAGCCAAGACCTTCCCCTGGTTGTTTTGAGGGACGAGAAGTCAAGGCGTTGAGGTGTTGTGCCGCTCTTGTCCATGGGGGGGTCCACCGTGGTGTTCAGGCGATGATAATGGACCGCAACGGGTTTCATTGCTGAGTCTACCTGTGACTTAATAAAGCTGGTTAATCTATTAAAGGCCCAAGGGCCGAAGGAGAGGAGTAAGAGAATGCCAACAAAAGGTCCCAACAGGCTTGGGAGCAGGGTAGTAATCCAGGGAGAAGTAGAGAACCAATTTTGATACCAGGATTCTTGTTGTTCTCTCTTTCTTTTCCTTTCTTCCAAACTACTTTTGACTCTATCCAGACTGTCTTGTACTAATCCGGTCTTATCAGCATAGAAGCAACATTCCTCCTTGAGAGCTACACACAGTCCCCCTTCTTTGAGGAAGACCAAATCTAAGCCTCGCCGGTTCTGGAGAACCACCTCTGATAAAGAGGCTAGAGAATCCTTAAGATTTTGCATTCCTTGGTGGAGTTCTTGGATATCTTTATCAACAGCAGCAGTTAATTGTGCATAATGCTGTTGTGAAGTAACAAGAGAAGCAATGCCTGTTCCGGCCCCAGCGGCACTCAGGCCAAGGATGACAGTAAGTGTAACTGCTGTGAGAGGCTCTCTCTTGGTTCTAGATGAATAGGTTTTTCTCTCCCAAAAGTTTAGAAAGTTATCTGAATTATGTATAAAAAGCCGAGGGAGAATGGAAACAACTACACAAAAATCCCTTTTTGTAAGAAAGACCGAATTAACTAAATAGGTAGTTAATCCAAGAGAGCAAGCCAGATAAGTATTATCAGGAGCTTTAGTATAGGTGAAGGAATTATTTACAACAGCGGTTTAATTGCAAACTTGTAATAAAGAAGCGAAGGGAAGCATATTTGGTCATAGTAAGCAATGTCCTAAGCCTGATACCATGCTAAGAGTGAGGCCTCCAGATGTATCAGCGGCCCATGAAAGGGAATTGGCGTCATTAGTGGGGATGGGGTTTGCAAAGGAGGCAATACCCTCATAAAAGGGAGGTGTGGGGGAAAAGCAAATCCAGCACTCTTGGTACTTGGGTAGGCTGGTATTATGAATAGCTTCAAGGGAAGCATTAACCAAGGAGATAATAAGATCAGTGGATGAGGGAGGGCCATCAGGGATGGTAGGTTGAAAGGGAGCAATTAATGAAGGCATAGTAATAGTGGGCAGAATGGTGGGCTTATTCTTTTGGGCAGGCTTAGCAGGCTGATGTAATATTTTATTAGGCCCGATGGCTGCAGAGCCTCTATTTGGAATGTTTTTAGTTAAGCTTATCTTAAACGTCAGACCAATATCTTTTCCCTCCTTGTATAATCTAAGTCCCCATTGATATCCTCGGCCTGTCCAGTCTTTTTGTTTTCCTTGATTAGTAAACTGGATCAGGAGGGGATTACACCATCCTTTTAACCTGGAATCAGACCCGCATTTCGAGTTTAATGGTTGTGGGTCAGAGGCTGTGTAAATCCTCTTGGGGGGGGGGGTTCTTTTTACAGTAATATAATCCCAACTGGAGGTGGGGTTCTAATAGGTATCTCCAGTGGTCTCACAGCCCCATGACGCACAAAAGCATTCAGGAGTTTCCCAGCCTCATTTGTGATTGAGCCTCCTGTCTCTATGGGCTCCTGGACAAACATGGAGTCCATCTCGGAGTAAAGCAAGAATTGCGCCCTGCGTGTCGCTCCCACATTCCGGTCCTGTGCCGGACGTATGGCCCTTTGGGGCTCGCTCGCGGGGGGCATAGACATCTGGGAGTCCCCATTCAGCACCCGCTCCGAGAGCGAGGGCACAGAGATCGACTTCCAAATCGGGCCAGTGTGGCTCCGTTCCGATGTGGGAGCTGGAGTTGACTACATCCCCAGCCTGATTTTGTATAACCCATGTAAAATTATAAAGTGTATATGATGAGGGGTCACTTACCACCAGCCGGATTGCCAACCATATAACAAGGGAGGTCTGTAGAATGTTCATGGTTCTGTAATTAAGCACAATGAGAATATTTCTCAGGGACCTTTCAGGAAGCCATCTAGCACTTTGAGCTTTGGAGTCATAGATGCAAGCATGGCCTTTTTCCCAAATGAGTACTGGGTCGGGTCCAGACCATTTAAAGGTTAGAGGGTCTTTCCATAAGACCTGAGCATAGGAATCGGCCGTGGTAGGGTGCCAAAACCGATCAGCTGCAGATTTTCCATTATTATCATAGGTTAAAAAATTTAAAACAAATAAAGCATGATTTAACAAGGTCTTAAAATTACCTTTAAGTGGGTATAATACTCCTCCAGAATGTTGTAATTTATTAAGCATGTTTTTTAAGGTTTGATGTGCTCTTTCTACGATGCCCTGTCCTTGAGGGTTGTATGGGATGCCTGTAAGGTGTTTAATATTAAGCTGAGCACAAAACTGCTTAAAGCTGGACCTAGTATAACCAGGCCCATTATCTGTTTTAATAATCTTAGATAAGGGCATAAAGGCAGAACAGGCAAGGATATGACTAATAACATTTTTTGTGGCCTCCCTGGTCTGTAATGAGGCACATAGGAATCCACTAAAGGTATCTATGGAAACATGGATATATCTTAGCTTACCAAAGGGTGGATAGTGGGTCACATCCATTTGCCATAGCTCTCCGGGGGTGAGATCGCGGGGATTAACCCCCAAATGCGGCTCAGGCAGAAGTGTCAGACAACCTTGACATTGTCGAACAATCTGTCGAGCCTGTCCTCGGGTGATGGAAAACATTTGTCGAAGGATCTGGGCATTTAAATGATGTAACTGATGAGCCTCTTGTGCCTGAGTTACTGGATAGGGCAAGGCCATGGTGGCAACTGTGCCAGTTACAACAATATTCTGTGTGGCCCGATCAACAAGTTCATTTCCTTTGCTTAATGGTCCGGGGAGTCCCGAATGTGCCCGAATATGTCTTATAAAAAAGGGGTCATCTCTTGCTAGTATTAATTGTTGAAGTTTGGCAAAAAGAGGTGAAGCATTTGTAGAAGGGCGAATATAAGGAACGGTCTCAAGAAGGGGAACCGCCGTGGCAACATAGGCGCTATCGGTGTAAAGATTAAATGGTTGATCAGCAAGAACTTTAAAGACCTGAATAACGGCGGCTAATTCAACAAGTTGTGCTGAGGTAAATTTAGTCTGAGCCTGAAAGATTTTGTTATTAATATTAAAGGCTGCAATCCCAGAAGAGGAGCCATCAGTAAAGGCCAATACAGCCCCAGGGATGGGGGATGTCTTGGTCCGCTTGGGGAAAACAATGGGCTGTTTATACAAAAATTGGACCAGCTTATCAGCAGGGTAGTGATTGTCTATTTTTCCT